GTCACACTATAATACAGTGATCCCTCGGTTAATGAGCGCCTTGTTTGACGAAATTTCGGTTAACGAATTACCTTCCATAAGATTCTTAACTTCGGTCAACTAGCATTTCCTCGATTAACGAATTCCTTATGAGCGGCCCTCAACATGTTTTCACTTGCACACTAGCTGTGGTATTAATCCGCCAATACGGTAGTCGGTTCTAGGGCCTAAATTCCTTACTATTTTAGTAAATATTAAGAAGTTTGTACTATTCAATAATTTTAAAAGTCTTATATTAAAATTTTTAGTCATTTTAACAATTATTTAACATAATTTAAGTACATGGAAACTAGTTTTTAGCACGCCAAACAGCCTGTCAACACACCATACAGGCGTTAGTCTCTGTCTTTTCAGTGGAGGTAACATCTTGCTTCAGACTCTCTTCAACATAAATGCTTTTTTTTGTTTCCTGTCAAATTATTGGTCATTGGGAACACCACTAGATTTTAATAAATAATACCTCAAACTAAAGTTAGGATAATATAATTGACATTGCTGGATTCCTTGTAAGACCAGGAATATTTTGAATATAAATGTCATATATTTTGCACAAAAGATAACATATTTACTCAGAGTAAACATTATATCTAAAATTTGTATGTCTAATGCAAAGTCTATGATGTTTATATTCAAAATGATCATCAAATTGTAAGAATTCCAGCAATGTAAATTATATTCTGGCCGGGTAATTTGTATGAATTTTATGAGCTAAAACAAATATCTTCAGTTAATAAAAAAATAAAATAAAATATTCTTCACCATACCAAATGGTCGGTCGGTCCCTTCCTCCCCCCCCACCCCCCACCAACCCTCCCTACCAGATGTCTGGGAAAACCAGAATATTTACCTTTTTAGTAATAAATGATATCTCAAACTAAAGTTAGGATAATATAATTGACATTGCTGGATTCCTTGTAAGACCAGGAATATTTTGAATATAAATGTCATATATTTTGCACAAAACATAACATATTTACTCAGAGTAAACATTGTATCTAAAATTTGTATGTCTAATGCAAAATCTATGATGCTTATATTCAAAATGATCATCATATTGTAAGAATTCCAGCAATGTAAATTATATTCTGGCCTGGTAAAAGTTCGGTTCTGGCGAGGCGTATATGAGAAATCGCGTTAAGTGAAACCGCGTTAAGCGGGGTACAACTGCATTATACTATACAGCTCCTCCCCAACTTATGATGCGGTTAGGGACCCAAATCCAGGTTGTAAGTCAAAATGGTCGAAAGTCGAAAATGCTTAAATAATACATAGAAAATCTAAAATGGGTGTCTCTTTTTCTTCTCAGCACCAGAAAACTCTCACTTTTAAGCTTGCCAGCCATTTTAAAGTGAATTACAAACGAAAATTTTGTCTGTGTACTGACATTGGGACACGAAAATAGGTAATTTGACAAAATTTTGGTACGACTGAGGCAGGTTGTAAGTGCAGGTGGCCGTAAGTCGAGTGGGTCGTAAGTCGGGGAGGTGCTGTATACCCATACTATACAGTAAGTCATGCAATGCGCCCGCCCTCGTGTATAAAAAAAATTGACCCCAAAAACCTCAAGACTTACATGTGTTTTATCAGTACCATTCTCTTTGTTATATTGTTGGCTACAAGATGTAATATAATTTTTATCGATATAAAACAAAGGCAAAATAATAATAATAAAAAATTATATATTTTTTCCATTTGATAATCATTTTTTTGTTTGCAATTTTCTCCAAAATTATTGTTATATCATAAATCTGATTATTGTGTTGGAAAGCTCTTAAAATTCTGCTTCTGGTAGAGTATAGTGTAGTAGTTAAACAGTTGACTCAGACAATGCGAGGTGGGAGGTTGTGAACATATTGGTGTTATTTTTTCCTCGTTTATTAGAAGTGATAAAAAATGCTGTATTCTTGTATTATTCTTTTTTGGCGTAAGTTGAGAGCAATGATTTATGAAGCCAAAGATATATGGGTTAGGCCAATAAAAGCAAGTTTGGGGGGAAATTGATAAAGTAAAAAAAAAATATATAAATGAATTAATAAAAATATTCACCGTGCAACGGTCTCACCTGCTCTGGGGTCCTCAGAGATGTGATCTTTTAACTGGAAAACTTCAAACTTATCTTGTATGTGAGAGGTTTAAAGACACAAGCCATCATTTATGGGATAAACAAAACACATGTGTGTGTATTTACCTTATTTAATGATGTAGACACAATAGTGGAAGTAGACAATGCACTTATCTTGTTCAGGTACAGTTTAGTTTGAGATACTTTTACAGATGAATCTGTTAATTGTTTGACATTTAAATGTAAAATTGGATGACAATCATTTTCTATTTATAACTTAAACAATACAGGTTTATATAAGATATACACAAAGGTTTCATAGGATATGATACTAATATGTGGTATATTATTATAGGTAAAGGATATTTTTTTACTTTTAACGTTAATGTGAAATATTAAAGAGGAAAGGAAGTAATTTGTACAATATTTGCAGAAGATAGGAGAGGATGTGTTACGGAGGTTCTATGTGGCATTACTGCTGCACCACCTATGGTCAGGCATGGGCATATGGCAAGCAAGTGAACTGTTTTCGGTCCATCGAGGCTTAATACAACAGACCCTCACATCAGCTACAGCTTTTGCATCTTGCATCTACCATTTTTGTCAGGTATGTAGTACTTTCTCTTATTAATGTATAAGAAATTAGCTGAGAATGTTTGTCTTATTATAAAATTGGTAGAATGTGTGTACAGTGATTCCTCAATTAACGAACACAATTGGTTCCACAGATTCATTCGTTAACTGAATCTATTATTTCAATGGGATACTGTATTGGGTAATTGGTTCCAACTCACCGGAAAAGTACATACAAAGTACTGTATACTGGTAATAGAATTAACAAAACATTAAATATAAACTAAATACAGTACTGTACAGTATACTGTATAATAATAAATATAAAACAATAGAATACTGTATTTTAACTTACTTTGAGGTGTGTATGTCGTATTCCCGGCAGCTTTGTTTACATATCAAACAGCTGATTGTAGAGGCAGTCGATGATGACATGCCATATTCTTTACAGAGTGCATTGGTTCCAATGCCTTCTTCGTGTTTCATAATAATTTCTGCACTGTATATTATCAATACGGGGTATCCTGATTAAATTTCAGAATGACCAATAATTTTAATATAAAAAATGCAGAAATATTCAAGAACACAACTTTCTTGATATTTACTCCACTGGAAACGAATGTAAACATAGAACCAATTACTGTACAGTGACCCCTCGGTTAACGAACTCAATCTGTTCCAGAAGGTCGTTCGTTAACCGAAAAGTTCGTTAACCGAAACCATTGTTTCAATGGGTTTTTGGGTAATTGGTTCCAGCTCACCGAAAATTGCTTAAATTCAACAAAACTGGTGGAAAAGTTCACTTACTTTGAGGTGTGTATGTAGAAGGCTCCTGGATGACGATGATGATGATGGGAATTAGAATGGGGGTGGAGGAGAAGGAAGAAGAGAAGGCATTGTGGTGGAAGAGAAGTCACCCCATGGCACCATTTCACCTATAAAATTTTAGTTCTCTTGGTGTATTTCAAGATTATTTTCTTTAAATCAACACTGCACTGCATTATATATTGTCAATATGTAAAATATATTTCAAAATGACCAATAATTTGCTTGGAAACACAGAAAAAAAGCGTTGAGTTGAAGAGAGTCTCAAGCAAGATGTTACCTCCAGTTAAAACAGAGAGAGACTAACGCCTGTTTGCTGTGTTAAGAGGCTGGATGCCGCGCATTAAACTAGTCACTTTACCTTCAATTATGTTCAATAATTGTTAAAATGACTAAAAAATTTAATATTAAACTTTAAAAATTATTGAATAGTATAAACTTCTTGATGTTTACTAAAATAGTAAGGAATTTAAGCCCTAGAACCGATTAATGTATTGGCGGACTGATACTAAAGCTGGTTGCCCGGTCAGTGCAAGCGAAAACATGTTGAGGTCGGTTCGTAAGAAATTCGTTAACCGAATTGAAGATCCTTATGGAAGGCAGTTCTTTAACCGAAATTTCGTTAACCGAGGCGTTCGTTAAACGAGGGGTCACTGTATTGGCGGACTAGCCGATCGGCTGATGCGCACAACAAAACGTGTTTCTCGTAAGGCTTTCGTTAATCAAAGATTTGTTCGTTAATCGAACTGAAAATCCTTATGGGAGCTAAATCGTCAACCGAAATTTTGTTAATTGGACCTTTCGTTAATCGAGGGACCACTGTACAGTCATTTCTGCTGCAATGCATGTTTTGTCAACGCGAATTGGCTATAACGCGATTGATGACTAGAAGAATGATATTTGTAAAACGCGAATGCATGTTGGCTGTAACGCGATTCCACTCGAACGTTTTAAGTGTACTGTTGCTTGGCGCGGGGTTATGCAGTGTTTACAGTTCACGTTCGACATCACATTTTCAATTGATTCGTGTGTTTTGTTTGTGAAGTGTTATTTGATAAGGACTCAATAAATTTCATCCATTTTTTGCAAATTTAGCTGTTCCCATAAATACTGTATGAAAAAAAAATGTTTCGCAGTGTGGGCTAATAGCGTTTTACACCCGTGCTGTCTGTTTTCATCACACGCTCAGTTGAAACACGTGGGTTGTTTTGAAGCGTCCTCAGTGATTTTTGCTTACTATTTCTCCAATTTTGTGGTATTAACTGTGAATATGGAAAATAAGAATATCTCCAAGAAGCGTTCTGGTGATCGCATTCCCGGTGGTGATCGTAAAAGAAAGGCTATAACACTTGAAGAGAAGCTTGATGTTATCAAACGTTTTGAAAAAGGAAAGAACATGTGATATTGTGCATGGAACGGGAATAGCTAAATTTGTAAAAAAAGGATCCTTTGTGTTAGGCTAGCTATAGACAGACCCCGACTTACAACTGCTACAACTTACGACCGTCGGGACTTACGACCGCCTCGGATTTTTTAATAATTTTTTTTTTTTTCAAATGACATGCATTTTCTATACCGAAACGTTTCCAGTTAATGTAGTCTCCATGTATAATTAGAAAATTATGGGGGCCCCATGTGCATTCAGCTGACTACATTAAAGGTAAGTGCTCAGTCACACTGTAACCATTAGGGGGCAGTGAAATTTTGCTCAAAGCTGCACTCTTCAGGCATTGTTCCTTATACATATCTAAGACTCCATGCCAAATTTGAAGCTGATATGTCGAGGTTTAGTCTGCCGCATTTTCTACTGAAATTTTTAAATTTACCTACAGTACTAGCCAAACAGCCGCTGTGGCGGTGCAATGTTCTGTTCAGTGTTTATCAACTTTTTTTTCATATCTCTTATTTCATTTAAGTTGTCTTGTTGCAGATGAGTATGGTGTTATGTCTATATTGATTATCAGCCTTTTCTCATTTCAAGGTTGAGAAAATTGTACAGTAGAGGAATTGAACTAAATATGAACAAGAATGTAGGCAAAAAAGCTGCATTTCAGGTAGAAATGAAAGAGTTATTTGATATCTGTAGCTGTTATTGTCCCCTTGCCTCCTGTCAGGATGTGAGGTGCATAGTTAAGGAGTGTGACGGATATCACCTGGCATGTAATTGTGTTATAAAAGTTCCCAAACGTGAGGTGCAGTTTCTCCTTGACCACCGAGGTGATAGGAAGATGAAGATTGCAGGGGTTGACATGAAAGTGACGAAGATGTGGGACAGAGTGACGGCAAGAGAGAAGAATGATGCGGACAGAGTTAGGAGACAGCTTGAGCAAAAACATAGATATCTGGTAGCTGGAGATATTCCTTATGTTGAAGATAATTCAGATGATTCAAGAGATATTCCTCTCGTCAATACTGATGCTGATTTTGTCCCTGATCCAAGGGCTTTGACAGATACCAGTTCACAGAACCGGACAAGACTCCCTACACTGGCTGCCGCTTGTGACCGATACTTGATTAGTGATTATGCTGGAGCTGCCATTGCTACTGCCACCTTAACTGACTATGGCATTATCACAAAGGATGACAAGAGTCAAGTTATTGGACCACATAAGCTGCGGGATGCGAGACAAAAATACCGATTTAAGAGGCAAGAAATTGAGATGGCTAGTTTAGATAATTTGACGTCACTCTATTTTGATGGTAAGAAGACCGCCACTCGTGTGATGATAAAGAATGAGAAGACCGAGAAATGGAGTTCGAGGATGATGGTGAAAGATCATTATGTCATCATGGTTGAGCCTGGCAATGAATATCTCACACATGTGACTCCCAAGACTGGACACGGAAAGCAGATTGCCAAAACTATTCACGAGTTTCTGGTGGAGAAAAATCTAACCCAGCAGCCCATTGTGTGTGTTGGTTGTGATGGAACCAATGTAAATGTAGGATCAGAAAATGGAGTCATTCATCATCTTGAAATGTTACTTGGTCACCCGCTCCATTATTTCATATGTCAACTTCACGGAAATGAGCTGCCTTTCCGCGCAGTTTTTTATCACTATGATGGTAAACCAAGTGGTCCTGAGCATTGGCGTGGTCCCATTGGAAAGCAGATCAAGGAGTCTTTGTCTGAGCTTCCAGTTGTCGCCTTCCAGCCAGTCAGTTTCCCTGATTTCCCTGTGTTTAATGATGAAGTGGAGAAAGATCTGTCCTGGGATCAGAAATACCTGTATAGGATTTGTAAAGGAGTTATCACAGGTGTTGTTGAAGATGACTTGGCTGCTATTGAGCCAGGTCCTCCCTGTGTGTCAAGGTGGAACACCTTATGGAGTAGAATCCTCAGGCTGTATGTAGCAACATCAAGACCCAGCCATGAGTTGAAAAGAATTGTCATTACAATAATAAAGTTCAGTGCTCCAATGTGGTTTTACATCAAGATACACCCTTACGTAACACACGGCTCAAGGAACGTATTCCAGTCCCTGCTATATATGAAACACCTGAATAGTGAGGAGGAGACGATAGTGAAGAAGGCTGTCCAGAGAAATGCATACTTCGCCCACACAGATCAACTTCTTCTTGGTATGTGTGCAGATGAGGACATGACTGTTAGAGAAAAAGCTGTCTCAATGATAAGAAAAATTAGAGAGGAGAATCAGCAAAAGGAAGAATGCACTGGCAGATCTGAAGAGGAGGAGGAAGATTCTGATGCTGCTGTTGACGAGAATTTGTTAAACTATACTGATGAGGAGGGTAAAGATGGAGATGGGAATGAGGATGTGCCTCCTGTAGTCAACATGAGAAAGGTGGTGACTCCGAAACTAAAGTGGCAAGCAAAAAACTATCATTCCATGATTAACTGGAGGAATGAACTCAAGACTGAGCCTCCTTACATTGCTTCTCTGTCAAATCTACAGGTTAATGACATTCTTGAGACACCATTAGTGGTGCCCAAGTGGCCAAACAGCACTCAGGCGGTCGAGAGAGGCATAAAAGTGATGACTGAAGCTTGCACTGAAGTGACGGGATACGAATCGAGAGATGGATATATTAGGCAAAGATTATTGTCTAGGAAAATGATGCCAAGGTTCCGCACAAAAAAGAATTTCAATATGAACTTGTAATGATTTTCTATACGGTGTACCTGTAAAATAACATGTGAATTAAATCGATGTCACCCATGTAAAATTTATCATTATCCTGGAAAAC